CTACCGTCCTAGCTATATGCATAACGTTCCTCGCAAATGGAACTTCAACTTACATAACAAATTTTTTACGTCGCCGGAGCAAGTGTCTATAAGCCGTATTTCAGATAATCTTTTGACTACCTTGATTTCATTGTTCAGCTTTAAAAATCACTTCACATTCACCAAAATGAGCCACCCTTGAATATCAGGGGCATCTGCATATCCTCTAAAGTAGCTGTCTGAGTCGTTTTTGTCATCTTTCCGATGCTGTCAACGTCCCTATCAATCGTTCCTGTTAACCTTTATTAGCACCGAAATAATAGTAGACAGCTTGTGCTTGTGAGTTGCGACTAACGCTTCGAAAACATTGAGTCGTTCATAAAACTGTTCATGTGGTTCATGGACATGTTGCACCCAGCGGCCGCAATTTAGTGACAGGGTCGGCGGATAGCCAAGCGGATATGCACGGTACGTGGCTGAGGCAGCTGTTTTCAGCGCCGGGGAAGCCAGCATTGATAGCTCATTGATCCGTTATGCCCAGCACTGATAGCCCATGCATACGTCACGTCAAACGCTGCTAGCCTGATAACCCACTGATACGTTATGCAATGTACCCGGTGCTATTTATGGGGCCTGTAGACTATTTGCAGAGCAAAGGAATTGTCAATAAGAATTAAACTCACCCCAAAATTCACCCCTCTCTCCATCACAAATCTAGGCAGCTCCGTACCCCCCCCCCCCCCCTGTCGCAAAGCCTGGCAGCGCCCCTGCCCTTAACTGCATGCACCTGCATCCGTGACACTGGCACTAGCACGTGTTGTGTCCTTCGTAAATCACTATTTTTGGGTCCTTCTGGCCATTCAATCCATTTTTACCTAGGATGTCGCTTGTACACTCATATTTTGTATAACTTAACATTACAAAACCGGTTTGCGCACATTTTTTAGTTCTGACTGTCTTTTTGATTGTGCTTTTAGCAGTTTTGCTCTTCAAAGCATATTTGACAATTCGATGCTCGCGTCAAGTCCTGAAACCACAAAATCAACGAACTCCTTCGAAATTTTAAGGGATCAAATCGACCCTCTCATAGAACGCAAGCGGAATTTATCACGTGTACATTGACCAAAAGGAAATTGTTAGCCTCGTTCACACTTCGGTGCCTTGAAAAGGCTCGCTCCTTCAGCCTCTCTAGGCCAACTTAACCTTGCTCCGGAACATGCCACACAGCTGCCAATTGGTGGGCCTCCGTTATCCCCTCTGCTTGGCATTCGCCATGGCAGATTCATCGTCTCTGCTCCCAGGTCATACCTTTATCACCTTCAAGCAAACCTTGACAACGCGACTGTTCGGTAACGGTCATTTTCAACTGAACTGGCTGGATGAAAGATAAGATTACATGACGCGGTGTGGGGAGGGATGAATATCTCTCGTGTCGGTTGTGTATTGAACCGGAAAGGCAGATATGAAAATCATTAAATCAATGGAGTGCATCAAAACGGAAGATTTTGAATTCGCGCAGTCTTGCTCCAGGCAAATCGAAGCTTCATCTATTTTGGTTGACCATGGACTTGGGCTACAGGTGCGGGATTTCACAGCCTGTGATCCCCATTCGTTATCAAATTCGCTCGTTTTTTCGGCCAAGCATAGGTGCATTCCTAATGCATTGTTCATGATAGCTCGGCGTAAATCCCAATGAGCTCCATTTTTTAAAGGGAATGGTGCCACTTTGGGACACAGCTCAAAAGTTCACGACACGGGACGTATTCCACAGTCCGGTTGTGATTGAAACACTGACTGGTGTGCTTGGCGTTAACTGCTGACTTTGGTGCTATAGAAATGACTCAAGAACAAATGTTGTGTACACATCTGTTTGAATGCAGAAGAATCCTAATAGATATCTTTTCCGACGCCTGCTTGTGGTAGTCGACAATTTAATGCTGTTCATGCATCGAATTTCGTTTAAATTACATGCAAATGGTCATTTAGCCTCACCCTTCTTTCTGATTTATCAGAATCTATTGGGCCGGTTTCTACTCTTCTGAGACACTAAAATGACCACGGGAGAACGGGCCCTTCTCGGCTCGATCAGAGCTGCAAGATTGCTATCAACCGGCGCATTCAGAAGGGAAAGGATCAGGACAAGTGTATTTTTATGCCGCGTGTTTGTTTTATATGTGAATGATACCTGGCACCACGTTAAATGAAGTCATGTAAATGCATACGTCATTATGTAATGCAAACAAACCACTTGTCACAAACTACTCTGATTATCTGCTCTATATCGGCTGCACATGTAGACGCACTCGAAGACAATGTGCTATTTAAACAAATGATGGCTAATGGCTTGACTGTGTCACTGCTGCACTCAAGGTTTTCTCTACGTTTAAAACTTTCTGATTGGTTTTGGGTTAAGTAATCACTTCGATGTATCCGAGGAAAACGTGGGTTGCGTGTATATCAGTGTACGCTCTCCCAGAGATAGAGCTACGCTTTGTCCCTAGACCCTTGACCGCCACCACCATCCGCTAAGTGACCTGCTGTCATCAGGTGTCGCCTGAGCCGGCACCTGTAGTGTCCGGAGCGGTGACCTGCTGTCATCAGGTGTCGCCTGAGCCGGCACCTGTAGTGTCCGGAGCGGTGACCTGCTGTCATCAGGTGTCGCCTGAGCCGGCACCTGTAGTGTCCGGAGCGGTGACCTGCTGTCATCAGGTGTCGCCTGAGCCGGCACCTGTAGTGTCCGGAGCGTCGCAGACCAGTCCCACACGGGCCTCGGTCAGAGGCGCGGCGCCTGACGACTCGGGCGCCCCACGAGCACTCAGCCGGCTGGCGAGGCGTCCTCGGCGGCGCCCCGGGGCCCTCCGTCCCACGCGCCTGTCGCGCCTCGCAGGCTGAGTGGCAGGCGTCGGCGGGCGGACTGACAGGCGCGTCCGACGGCTCCAGCGCGCACTGTCGTCGCGTTGTAGGAGGTCTCGTGCGCGGCTAGTGCTGATTTCTCGTACCAGACCGGGGCGAATTCGGTGGGACCATTACAGAGCTGTAACCACACCCAATCCGCCCAGCAAACAACGGGTGATGTGGAGTTTTGCTGGGGAACCAGGAGCGCTAAAGTGAGCTGATCTTGATCGTCGATTATGTTTTGCTGCTGGCCTGCTGCTTCTCTGTTGGCGGGGAGGCGTGGGATGGAACTACGGTGAAACGAGCGTTGAGAGATACCCGGCCGGTGACAGCGGCGCTGCGACCCAACAGCTGCGACCCGATACCGCGAAGCTGCTCAGCTTGTTGTCAGAGTTCGGGGAGCGGCGGGAGTTTCTCAGAGAAGCTCTCCTCCTTGAGCGAACCATCGAAGGCCGTGAAAACATTGGATGGAAGGGATCGAACACATGGCAGTCCTGCTTTGAACTCATAGGCAAGAATGCCGACTTAACTGACGCCAGCTTCATTAATTTGGACACCGTTAATAGCCAAAATTTTGCTTATTTTGATGTTCGCACACAAAAAGTGCTAGATAAAAAGCGCAGCCTTACTAGGTCAAAATTTTGAGTTAGGAAACATATATGTTCTGATTTAGCTTAGTTCAGACGAATTACTTGCGTTAAATCATTTGATTTGAATGACGCACAACTTGCACAATCAAAGATCCCACTCAGTTCTGGCTTGTTGTCTCACGACTTGACAAGAACACGTATGCGTGTACATATACCAATGCACAGATGTGCATGCATATGTACTAATGCATATCAGCAAGGAACTGAATTGAACTTAACACGCGCCAGGGTGGCTGGCTGGACACAGGTCGCTCAGGTGGAGGTCACCAAATCCACAGGATGTATTGGTCTGTACGTGAACTCACCTAGGTCAAAGTTTGAGGCTCCTAGGTCATGGCCTTTAATTCAGATAAGGTCAAACAGGGTCAGACTCCAGGTTGGCTTCCAAAGTGTCCCCAGAACCCAGATACCCGCTCCCAGCAAAAGGTCATGTGCCGCCCTTCCCAGGGGAGGAGACGGGGTCACGGGAAAGAAATTGCTGGTCTATGCGGCGTGCGACATAGTGCGCATAAAGACATTCGACAAGGACGCACGTAATGTGCAATGATGTCATCATTGGTCATTTTCATGCTTTCACTGCCATGCACATGGTCTTGAGGATTATTTGAATTTTATATCTTATAACCACCAAAAGTTAAAACTGTCATGTGCTTACAAAACGCTGCATATGATTCAGCTCAGACGATATTAGGGACCACTGAAGAAAGATGAAGCGTGGGGGAAGGAAGATTACAAATCATGGCGCCGTACCGAATTTTAATGTATTCAAAATCTTTGAGCACGGTCTCATACAACCGATGCGGATTAGTAACTCATACTACGCAGGAGAGAACTGCCACCTGCATCACTTTAACATGCACAACATCAGATGTATGTGAAAGCATGCGCAACATGCGATTTTTCTCAAAACACAGCATACAATCTGTATATGGCCCATTATTTAATGACGGACACCTGTGGTGGAATCTGCGGGAGGGGGCCCACCGCGGCGCCCCGGCTAGTCGGTGCGCCGCAGTGAGACCTGGCAGGCGTGACGCAGAGCTGAGAGCTCCGTGGTCTGGTCGCACCGGCCGACGGCGTCTCCTCCGCGGCCAGCATCGATCAGCGGCACCGCCTGAGTGGCGACTCACTGGCGTGTGGCTGACCTGAAGGTCGCGGTCAGCTGGCGCGGCTGGACGAACGCCGCCCTCGCAGTGGCTGTCAGCAGCCCGGCACGTTATGTATGCCAGCCGGGCGGCGTCCGGGACGGGAGGACCATTCCTGTGCCGACAAAGTTGTAAATCGTTTTTAAAAGAATCTATCAACATGATTGCAGGAAAGAAGCGGATAAGCGGAGGAAGTCTTTAGCTGGGTGAATGGCAGAGACCATTTGACTCGGCTGTCTCGGTATCTGTAACGACACGCGTTGGTCTGGCCTTGGGCTCGACAATGAGCGAGGTATACTCTGTGTGTGTGTATCACTACGATGTTCGGCAGGTCCGTTCCTGGGCGGCTACCTGGCCTCTAGCATCGGCTTCAGTTGGCTGCTGGCGATCCTCGGCACGCTGAACCTGCTGTTTACGCCTTGTCTGGTGCTGCTGCGGGAACCACCGGTGCCGCCTGCCGACCCGGTACGCAACCTCTCGGGGAGGTGGGGAGGGGGGGGGGGCGCACGACCCACCCAGAAGCGAGCACGAACCCTCATGAACAGTGGATGTACTTGTGTGAGAGGACACACGGCTCCATCTCGGCAAGAACAAGCTCAGACGAGGCGGCAGTCGGTAGCGGGAGATCAGGGTCTTGCCACCCGCGTCGGCAGCAGACCAGAGTCTTGCCACCCGCGTCGGCAGCAGACTAGGGTCCTGCCACCGGCGTCGGCAGCAGACTAGGGCCTTGCCATCCGCGTCGGCAGCAGACCAGGGTCTTGCCTCCCGCGTCGGCAGCAGACTAGGGTCTTGCCACCCGCGTCGTCAGCAGAGCAGGACCTTGCCACCCGCGTCGGCAGCAGACTATGGTCTGGCCACCCGCGTCGGCAGCAGACTAGGGTCTTGCCACCCGCGTCGGCAGCAGACCAGGATCTTGCCACCCGCGTCGGCAGCAGACTATGGTCTTGCTACCCGCGTCGGCAGCAGACTAAAATCTTGCCACCCGCATGGGAAGCAGACCAGGAACTTGCCACCTGCATCGGACGCAGACCAGGGTCTTGCCACTCGGAGTCGGCGGCAGACCAAGGTGGTCTGCTGGCAACGCAAGTGGCAACAACTTGGTCTGCTGCCGACGTGGGTGGCAACAGCTTGGCCTGCTGCCGACAAGGTTGCCAACCTTGTCGGCAGCAGGCCAAGCTGTTGCCACCCACGTCGGCAGCAGACCAAGTTGTTGCCACTTGCGTTGCCAGCAGACCAGGATCTTCCCACCCTGGTCAGCAGCAGACCGGGGTCTTGCCGCCCCATCGTCAGCCGCTCCTGACCACCTCGCACTGGCGGGCATAGTATCCATAGCATCCGTCCCCAAACAGCCGGGATCGGCACGCCACCGCTACTGCCATCGCCCGCAGGCCAGCAGTGTGATCTGAAGCGTTGCTATTTGTATGCATTAGGCAGCTGTCGGAGGGGGAGATTACGGATGTCATACGGATAACGCCGATTTCCCCATTATGTCAAGGTATCGGCAGTCGAGTAATAATACCGGTAAAACGGCTAAATGGGACTGCGCCAGCTTTGAACCTTTTAGAAGGACCAAGCAAGTTCACATTGCACATGTCAATAGCCCTCAACTAGTAGAGTTAAATCTTACGAGCGGGGACGTACCAGAGTATGGCTAAGGTGGATGTGTGTCCCCCCCCCCTTCTGAGTCAAGAAGTTGACTTTGCATGCGGGGTGATTTCTAAGGATCTTTGGAGACACTTTGACGTGTGCGCCCCATTGCGGAAACTTATGGCTACGTGTCTCCTTACGAAACAGAAGAAGGTTGTCATTCGAACAACCCAAAGCGGCTGTCAATTCAGAACGAAGCCTTGAACCACAAATTTCGGTGCTGTTCTGCCGGCACGCGCTTATGAAATTCAACGAGGCATTAGTTGGTCCTGCAAGGCAGATGAGCGCGGTACTTGAGAGGCATGTGGAGTGGCATGCTGATGGAGTGGGACGTATCATGGGGTGCTGTCGCTGATGTACGGGGCACGTCAATTGATACAACAGTAGGCGCTTCTGCTTACAGCCACAGCCTCTCTGACATACCACATTCCAACGTTACGCATACAAGCTGAGGGAAACACGGTTTATCCATTAGTCCGGCGCATTAGTCCAACGCGCTGCCTTCCTGCATCGACCTCCAGGAATGCTCGCATTCAAGGGCGGTCTATTGAAAAGAGCGCCACTTTGAAATGCAACTATTCATAACGGCTGGATGCGTGCTGCGAATTCGGTGGTGCTGTGTGTTCGGATTGGGCCTATGTGAAGCGACCAAATGCGATTGAAACTGCGATCCATTTGCTCTCGCTGGGTTTTACGCTCATTTTGCTGTTGTCTCTGTCCACAGCGGTGTACTCCCAGCTGCCGCGTGTTGTGCAAGCACACAACAGTATCAAGATGTCCCCGCAACTGTGTTTATCTCCGTACCATGTCCCTGTATCTGCAGCTGTGTACCGGCACCTAAACGGCCGTGTGTGTTCGCAGCCGTGTGACGGGCAGCCTGGGCAGCTGGGTGAAGTGCGCCGGCGTGCCCCGCCCCTCCACGCCCTCTCCGGACCCAGCTTCAGCTACACCCAGCTCTCGGAGGGCTGACCAGCGAGGGGCCCGGCTCTGGCAGGGTTGACCAGCGAAGGACCCAGCTTTAAGAGGGCTGAACAGCGAGGGACCCAGCTCTCAGAAGGGGCCTCAGGGGGCTCACCAGAACAGTGAGAGAGGAACCTCCACTGTCTGGAGGTGGAACAATGAACATCTGTAAAGGAACTATGTCTTAAACCGTTTTTTATTACTTTAAATTCTTTGATCCTTTCAATTGTTTTTATTGTTTAATTGTTTTAATTTTTCATCGTTCAATTATTAATTGTTTTATCACCTAAGTTTTAATTGCATTAATTTCATTGTCTTTAAACTCTTATATTCTTTCACCGAAGCGAACGCGGTTATCTACCGTTACGCTACCGGTTCGCGTCGCGTCAGATTTTCCAATGCAGACATGCAGCGAATATATATATATATATATATATATATATTGGTATATATATATATATATATATATATATATTGGTATATATATATATATATATATATATATATATATACCAAATTGGGCGCGCACCCGGCTCGCAGACCTAAATCGTCTTAAGTGTGAACCGGGGTCGGCAGGCTTCGGCCCGTAGCCGGCGGCGGTTACGCTGGTCGCAGACCGGGCAGCGGACGCCGGGTACGCAGACCGCTTGAATCTTTTTGACGCCCAGACTGCCTTGTTGATATGACGTCCATCACGCAGGGTAGTTCGGCGCAGGCTTGGGCTCCTACTTGGGCACGGGGCCTCGCCCTTGTACTTCAGGTCAGCCGTAGCCTCCGCATCGTTGTCGGTCTTCTGTAGTAGGTGACGGTTTGGGTGCGACTGCCGGGTGTAGTCGCCCGGCCGGGTACCTGGCACAGACCCCATCCTGGCTGAAGTCGGTACCCGTGCACTCGTCGGCCACCTCGTGACGAGGCTTGGGCTTGCTCGGGATTGGCGGAGGCGCGGAAGTTATTCAGCTGACGCACGCTCGAGACGCAGTGGACATTGGAACGAGAAATATACCTGTTCGCAGCTTGGGAGATTTTTAATGGACGATGTTGAAATAGAAATCAATTGAATAACAGATAATATTTGAAAAGGGGAGTGATGGCGAACGCATGATGGCTGTCATAAGAATTCTACATTTGACCTAGTACGCTATCATCCAAAGTTTAAAGCTGTCATAACCCATGGGAGCGCAAAAATGCAGCTGCAAAAAAATGACGCCAAGTTTTGCGAAGTGATCAACAGGTTTGGAAATACCAGTATAATCACATGGTTACGGACCGTGCGGCCTGAGTTCGAGCCAGACCATGGTACGAGTTGGTGTTACCTACAATGAGAAAACTTTCAACATGTGCGGCCCGACACGGCCTGGCACGGCCGTCACACTTGCTAGAAACGAACAGCTCTGCAACCATTGATCGCAGCCTCACGCGATTTTCAGCAACAAAAGCACATTTCTTTAAGAAGTGGTGCCATATACACTTGTAAGTACTTTCTTGCAAGCCATTAGAGAGGAGTTGTTCTTCCTGCAGCATTTCAACTTGAATAGATGCACATATTTGCCCATTTGTTTAAAATCGGAAACGTCACATTTGCGAGCTGCATAAAAAAACTGAAGGACTCAAGTCGAAATCAGTCCAGACCTCGGTGAGCTGGCATCACAACGACATGAGACCAGCTATTCAAGCGGGGAGAGGACGTACAGTAGCAATGGTAAAAGTCGGAGTCGATGCGCGCATCTGGTCAGTCACTGTCGTGCACACGTCGTAGATCCGCCCGCTCTGGGGCGATTGATAGAGATCGATATCAGCCCTCGGCAATAAGAGCAGGAAACATCTGAAATCAACTGCACATTGCAGGTGATTACCTCGTCGACAAATCACCAAGCGATCTCAACACCTCCAGTACCATGGTGTGCCCGGAATCGACCAGAACGCGGCCAGCGCCACCTTTCCCGAAACCCGCCCTGCCCGTAACGAGAAACATTGGTGCATGAAAATTGCACAGGCGCACTGGGTACGCAGAAAACTGTCTTCCTTTCAAGATAAGTAAAACTCATCATAATCTATCAACTTATCTTAACACCACGCACCTACAATCACTCCTTATCTTGCCAGCAATGCCATTTAACCCAAGTTTGTGTCATTGCATTTCAGAATTGAGAAACTAGGCAGGAGCATGCTTTGTTGGTAGAATGAGTATGTTGTCATCAACAACCGGGAACCAGCACACAACAGCTAGCTAGTGGCAATATAACTGATAGTAACTTACACGCAGTACCCTGCTGCATATTGGGTAACTGCATCCCTTTTTACTTAGCAAAAACTTCGACATTAGGCGTGCACTCATTGATTTGTGTTACATCTATTCTAGTCCCACCTGTGTTACCGATGCACAAACTGGGCGCCAACAATACCTTTGCAACCTATATTCTGTAATAATTTAAGACGTCCAAGACCCTTAACACAGTCAGGAGATTAACGTGGGTAAATGTCACTCAAGACTGTCCATTCATACCTCAAATGAAGCTTTCGTAAGATTTGGAGTGGCTTGTGCGATCATTAAAGCCTCTAGCGAGTGACTGGCATTAAGTAAGATCTCGAAGCACCAGCGGTCATGACAGATGCCGGATGACGGGCGACATATACCCCATTCGCGCGCCACATTTTATGAGCTGCGGGGAGATTCTACATTCGCATCTGTGGCACTCATGTCGCACGTGGGACGTTACACACTGACTGAAACGTCGCGCCATTCAATAAAGCACTTATGACGTCTCTGTCAGAGTGCTGAAAGCAACAAATTGGATACGAAGTGACACAACATTGCTAAGATATCTAACAATTGGTTTTTAACTGTGCAAATGTGACTTCTTGCAACTGTAAGATAAACCATTGAAACTAGAAATGTATTTTATATTCTTCCAATACAAGAAAAAAGAAAGATCCGGTAGCATACGGTGTTCCAGCAAAGGGGTTGTAAAACTGGGCAACCGTTCCCTTCTCTAGATGGAAGAAGAAGTTCCGCATGTACCTACCAGTGAACAGTCGCGCGCGTAGATTATTATTTTGACGCACCTTGCATTTTAGCAAGCCGATGTAATAATAATTGCAAAATGTTAATATAAATGTAATATTGTTGAGTGCTTATTGACATGTAACGTCATAAAAGGATAATAGAAATGCATTAACAATTACAAATAAATGCAAAATCACCAGCACCGTCGCAGTCGTGGTTTTATCAGCAGCTGGTGTGTCTGAGAACGGATATACACATCAGCTTTCATACTCGATGGTCATCTTATTTATTCAGAAGGCGTAGGTACTAGGTGGGCATCGGCCTGCGGTTGTGAATTGGGTACTGCTGTTACTGTTGAGTGACACGTTTGGATCTATGCCTGTAAATTAGCTGTCATAGCTGCCTATGCTTGTAAATTAGCTGTCATACGAAGAAATGCAAGCGGTGCATCTTTTCCAATGAAAAGTGAAAAGGAATCAAAATGTACGGTGCCCAAATGAATTTGCTGTTCAAATTTAAAAGATCCATGATATGGAGGTGGATTGGCGCGGAATCATGTGATATTATTTCTGATAAGTTGGACCGGATCGGATGGGACTGAGAAATCTGAGAAAAGCGGATTGGTGAGCGAACTGAATCTGGACTAACCGGTCTGGGCTGGGTCTGATCCTGAAAATTAAGTTCAACGCCTTATTTACCAGCACCATCCAACGCTGTTTGCTTAATTGTAGACGATGCTTTTTAGCATGGGTGGCCAGTTGGATACCCTTCGCTCGGTTGGGGGGTCAATTTGACCCTTTCCCTTGAAATTTTAGAGACTATGAGGGCTAGAGACACCAAATTAACAGGGTACGTTGGCCCTGTACGTAAATTCACTTAAGTCAACGTTTGAGTCCCCTACTCCGTGACCTTCGGGTTAAATAAGGTCAAACAAGGTAAAACTCCAAGTTGGTCTCTAAAGTGTCCTCAGAGCCTAGATACTTGTTCTAAAGCAAAAGGTCACATGTTCATTCACGATCAGTGATCCTCACTTGACCTTTCGAAGGTCATCGTGACCAAGATAATAGACGACTGCTTTGAGTTTCGCATTTTAATATGAGACAAAGATTAAGCTGGGCCGTATGTTCCTAAAACGAGATGCTGACGTGGGTAATTTTAGGTCAATGACCTCTTTTGACCTATAAGAAATCCATAGAATATGTCTTATGCGGTTTTTGTTATAAATAAATCCGAAATGCGCACCAGAAACGACCCTACACAGCGGACCCTAGGGTCATAAAGCAGGTTGGTCTTAACCTTGATCTGACCTTCATATCTGACCCTAGGTCAATGGAATTTTGGTCATTCAATTGTTGTGTTGCCTAAGAAAGTATCTCAGAGATGCATGGTTTCGTCGAACACTCCGTTGTTCAATAAGAATGAACGATTTCCTTGAAATTGACTTCGCTGAATCCATGACCTGACCTTAACCTGCCCTAGGTCAGTGACTTTACAAGGTACATCCAATTGTTTCGATACCACATGACTCGCTATTCGACTGCCTACAACTACGCAAAATTTGGAAACCATTGCGTAAACACCCTAGGGGGGGGTTCAATTTCACCCTACACCCGATCGCGTGTTAAGTAACGGTGTGGGCCTTTAGATGCGCGGAACCTGACCAGTATGACTCGATTTAACATGCAATAAGTAATACCCACTGATAGCTTGCTCTCTATGCATGACTCAGCGTTTTAAGAACCTCGTTTTGCCGTTTTGTCTCTTGTAGAGCAAAAATTGTGAATAAAGAAAAAGATCTAAAGTTGCTTATGTTGCACCCTGACTTAGTTTAATCCAACCGAGGTACATCGTACTGATGCTTGTGACATAAACGCGGTGCAGTTTTGCACAGGCGAGCTGTGTGATGCCCCTTCCTGCTCGGCTCCAGCTGGCTTGCCCCACGAGATAGCAGGGAGGCCCTGTGAGGCGCCGGCTTCCACCATGTCAGGGCATCGTCTGCGAAACGAGAAAAGCAGCTACGTCGCGAGAATAAGTACACCCGTTGTGAAGGCATGGAGGTATGTTGCAAATCATGGTGAGATACGGCCAGTTTGGCCAGG